GCCGTGGCGGCCACGGAGCACTACCACCCCTCCCTCTGGAGCCAACCGTGTGTCCCTTGGAGCCAAGACCCAACAGCCGATGCTCTCATCAATGCGTTGGGGCCCTTTCTGGGTGTCCCCACAGCACCTGCACGTGCCCCGCCCAGGCGCTTGTTCACGCTGCGGCGTCCCCATGCGCTCGTGACCTGCTGTCTCTGCTGGACCGTGTGGCCCTTCCCGCAGGGCCCCTCTGCCTCATTTCGTTGGACCCCTGCATTGTGTCTGAGCTCCTGTCTCTACTGTGGTCTGATAGGCATCTCCAAAGCCTGGCGGTCTAAGACAGCGGTTTCATTTTGTTCACAACCTGCGGGCCAGGGGCTCTGAGAGCCCAACTGGCAGCTTGACCCCCACCCCCCGACTCTCAGCGGTCCTGGGAGGCCTCCTCTGAGCCAGCTTCCTTCTAAGCTGCCCTGATGGCTCTGTGCTTCTCGGCCTCCGTCTCCACGTGGAGTCTGCCCTCCTGGGTCGATCACCACACAGGGTCTCGTGGTGGTGGCTCTGCTGCGTGGCAGCCAGCGTCCAAGCAGGCAGGGGGAGGAGGCTGCCAGGCGGGCCGGAGCCACCCAGAGTGGCGTGGCTCCCATGTTGGCTGCGTTCTTCCGGGACGCTGTCACAGGGCCATCCGGATGTGGGGCAGAGCTCAGCCCCCCTGACGGGACTGCAGGGCCCGTCTCAGAAGAGTGTCTGGAGTGGAACGCTCTGCTGCGGACACTTTGCCAAGGGCGGTGTCACCGTGGCCCGGCCACCAATGGCTTGGAGTGTGCCCGAATGAGAATCCTCCCGTCTTTGGGCAGAAGGCATGGTGGCTTTCCCTGAGCACCCCCTGTTTGTGATTGCCTTGGCTTAAACACATACAAGAGTGCAGCACATATCAGTAAGGGTTACTGAACTAACGCCGTTATGGCACTGCAGCGTCGATTACATGGACATTAGGACTTGCTTCACTGCGTCCTGCAGCCTTGGCATTCGAATGAGCTCTAGGGGATTCCATTGTTTGTCTAAAATGGGTTAACTGAGTGACCAGCATGAAGGGATCTTTCCTCTCTTGTTTCCAGACAGTAACTGTAAAAATAATATAATTGAGGCTGGGCGTGGTGGCTCAGCTTGTAATCCTAGCACTTTGAGAGATCAAGGCGAGAAGATTGCCTGAGCCCGGGGGTTCAAGACCAGCCTGAACAACTTGGTGAGACCCCGTCTCTACAATAAATCACAAAAATTATCTGGGCATGGTGGTGTGTGCCTAGTGTTCCATCTAGTTGGAAGGCTGAGGTGAAAGGATCGCCTGAGCCCAGCAGGTCGAGGCTACAGTGGCCATGAGCAGCATGTCACTGCACTCCAGCCTGGGCGACAGAGTGAGACTCCGACTCAATAATAATAATAATAACAGTAATAATAAAAATAATAATAAAATTGAACTTATTCACATACATAGTTTGAAAAAACGTCCGGCGCAATTAAATTCGCTGCAGTTGCTATTTAGCAAAAATCTCTTGAGAGGTAAAAATACTCTGTAACGGGATGAGAAATGTGCTGATATTTTGTTAGTACAGACAGATTGAGACCATACTGACTACACAAAGAACCAGGCTCGCCCAGTGCTGGAGCCAACCCTCAGGTGCGTCTTCCCGGCAAGTGCTGTGTGGTGAGCTGCAGACACTTCGGGTTTCCTGAGTTAATGGCATCGTTCCTCATCTCTCTGGAATGTGTTTATGAAGCATCATTTTGCGGGAGCCCAGACTGTTTTGATTCGCCGTCATATTACTCGAATGTTATTTCCGAAGACGCGGAAACTCCTCAAGGCGAGAAATCTACAGGGTTGAGGTTCATTTGCGACAAGTCCCACTTGAGTGCGGTGTCTTGAGATAGCTTTTTGTTTCCAAATAGAATAGATTACATATTTCAGGCGGCCCGTATTTATCACACATTCCCTGGGCTTGCCTTATTTACAGAAGGTTTGAGTGAGTTTTTGTCTCCCTCCACATTTAGAAGGGATGATTGCTAAAAGCCACCCTTGTTTAACGTGAAGACATTTTGGGTCTGCAGAATGGGGGTCATCTAAACACACCCCTCCCCACAAAGTCGGCCGTTCGCAGCTTCTTATTGGCAGCCAGAAGAGTCCCCTTGCGCCAAAAAGCCTTGTGTGCCTTAAAAAAAAGAAGTCTCCTGTGGCCTTTCAGATGCTCATGCTGGCAGAGGCTGAGCATTAACTTCAAGCGTGATATTTTGGCACGTCCCAAGCTAAACAGAGGTTTCCTCCTCTGCGCAGAGAACACTCCATGTTGAAGCAATTTTCCATTTTAATATCTTAAACAACTTCAGCTTTGGCACATTTTCCATATTTCTTCTAGTGCCACACACAGACACATTAAAAGCCACCCAGAAATGAAAAATAACGCAGTATATTAGAGAATGCTGCAGGTGTGTATCTGTGATCTATATCTACACACACTTAATAGCATGTACATACACACGTGTGTGTGTACGTGTATGTATATACATTTTCAGTGTAGTGTGTTTCTTTTCATGTCTTAGGTTTTTAATTAATCCGTATGTGGCACATACCTCCCCTAGTTTATGTGTAGACACACACCTAATATGTGTTTACATATAAATATGTGTGTGTGAGGAGGGTCTTCATTTCGGAGATAAAGTTTGAGTTTAAGTTCTACATTTGGCATATATTAGCTGGAGGAACTTTGGCAAGGTCTTTCATTCCTACAATGTTTAGTATCCTCTTCTGGAAAACAGCAGTTTTTCTTTTTTTGAGGGGTCGGAGTCTTGCTCTGCCGCCCAGGCTGGAGGGCAGTGGCATGATCATAGCTCAGCACAGCCTTGACCTCCTGGGCTCAGGTGATCCTCCCGCCTCAGCCTCCTGAATAGCTGGGATATAGTCATGCATCACCATGCCTGGCTAATTTTTTATTTTTTGCAGAGAAGAGGTCTTGCTATGTTGCCCAGGCTAGTTTCAAACTCCAAGCAAGCCTCCCACCTAGGCCTCCCAAAGTACTAGGAATACAGGCATGAGCCACCATGCCCAGTCCTGTAAAATAATAGTTTAGGAAGTAACTCAAAAAGTTGTGAGAATTAAATGAGTTAACTTTATAAAACATGCCTAGCTACAAAACAAGTGGTGATTAAATGAGTTGATTGTAGCGTTTTAATAGTCATGTATTTTTAGTGTCTTTCTACCACATTAACAAAGCAGGTTTACTGCATTGTCTCAGTTCATTGGGATAAAAAGCAGAAAGCGGGGTTGTGCTGTGTGGAGCTTGCTTGCCCCCCCAGGGTGCAGAGCTCAGCCAGACCCACGTGGTCTGACCTCAGCTCCTTCTGACCAGACCCTCAACGCTTGGCTGGGTTTGCTTGCTTTTCCTTTACGCCTCGGTTCTGTTCACGTCCAAGCTTTCGTGGGGTGCTCTCAGCGTCCTCTGCAGAATGTGCCTGGCTGTGGCCGTGGGGCACGGAGAGAGCGGGCGTGTCCTGCCCGTCAGGCGCCCTCTCCTCGGGTAGAGTGCTGAGGCCGGAGAGAACAGAGCAAGCCCGGATCCAGGAAGCCCGTCGGCCCCGCAGGGAGCCCCAGACGTGTCTGTTCCGTCTCGCTCCATGAGTGCCATGGGGTGGGGGAGCAGGGTCAGAGGCACCCACTCGCCCTCGGTGAAGCCTCGACCTGGGCCCATCTCCAGGCGTTTACGGCCTTGAATGATGTATCTACCTCCTCAGGTGCACTGCCAGCGGTGGTGGCATTCAGGCCACGCCTCCCCTGCCGTGGGGGTCACCACCTCGACCCCCTCGCCCCCCTCGCGGCTGCCCTTCGACACTAGTGCTGAGGTGGGCAGGCTGTGCCGAGTGGCTCCTCCTTACTCAGAGAGGGAATTGGAGGGGCTCTCTCACCTCCCCTGAGAGCCCGCGTCCTGTCCTCTCAGACATGACGCCGGTCACTGAGCCAGCAGCTCCAGCCGGGGGCCCATGTCTCCTTTTTCTGCAGGCACTCCTGACTCAGGGCTGGCTCTGGGCCGCCTCTTCCCACGGGGAAAGCGTCTTCCCACGCTCCTGGCTTTCCAGCAGAATCCTCAGCTGCCTCCCCCTCACGTGGGCTGGGGTCTAGAAGGAGGGCTTCGGACTGTGGCTCTTCTGTCGGGGGCAGAGGGTTGGACCAGGTGCTAGACACCATGAACTTGGATTGTGGGCCATGGCATTGGGTATCTGGAAGGGGGTCTCCTGACTTTGCCTTTTCAGTCTGTGGAGAGAGGGCCGGGTCAGGTGTTGGACACCGTGAACTTGACCCTGGGCCATGTTGTTAGGGGCCTAGAAGCGGGGGGGCGTCTGGCTGTGGCTCTTCTGTCTGTGGAGAGAGGGTTGGACCAGGTGCTGGACGTTGTGAACTTGGATCGTGGGCTCCCACTTCACTTGATCCTCAGATGGGCTCTTCCCTAATTCTAGGACGTCAGAAAAAATGTCTCCCATCATTTTGTTCAAAAGACAGAATAACAGTAAAAGCAGTGGAGTATAAAGTTCCTGGTAGCCTTTAGTAAGACTTGTGAGTAAATCAGAGAAAGATTGCCCTGGCTCCCACCACCTTTTTTTTTCCCCTCACTGTCACCCAGGCTGGGGTGCAGTAGCACACTCACAGCCACCACAGCCTCGACCTGCTGGGCTCAAGCGATCCTCCTGCCTCAGCCTTCCAAGTAGCTGGAACTGCAGGCACACACCAGCACATCTAGCTCATTTGTCGACTTACTGTAGAGACAAGATCTCACCATGAGGCCCAGGCTGATGTTGAATCCCTGGACTCAGGCAATCCTCTTGCCTCCGCCTCCCAAAGTGCTGGGATTACAGGTGTGAGCCGCTGTGCCCAGCTACCACCACCATTTTTTAATAGGGTAAGATCTAAAGAAAATTATGTCATATGCTGAACTGAAAGTTTTAAGAAGCTTAAGGAATTTCCCTGTCTCAGTCAAGATGAATGATTTCGTCTGCTTGAAAGAGAGCGGCTGAAGAAGGGGAGCGAGTGGATGTGTGAGGGACCTGCTGTCCAGGACCGATGTTGGTTGTCTTCAGGAGTAGGTGACAGAGTGTCAGTGTATTTGAAGCGCTTTAGGGCGAGTGCACACGCGTGCTTTCCAAGTCAGCATGCGCGTCCTTTTTAAACCGCACGTAATCCAGATGTCTGCACAGCAGGCCGCAGTGACGCTGACGGCGTTTCCACCAAGAGGTAGCTGGGGAAGCCCCGGCTGTGAGGCGGTGACGCCCCGTCCTGCTTAGACACGCTTTGGTTTCCAGTTGTTGGCCGACTGAGTAAGCGAGCTCAACAGGAGCGCAGGCCGCAGCAACGCGCGCTTTTCCGGGCCGCTGTGGCCTTTGGTGTCCCAAGTTCTGAGCCGCCGTTGCCTGTCTCCCCGCAGACGGCAGCCCGTGAGCCCCCCTCCTCCACCACGGCCCGTCTCCCCGCCGCACACCTACGGCTACATCTCGGGCCCGCTGGTGTCAGACATGGACACGGACGCGCCGGAGGAGGAGGAGGACGAGGCCGACGTGGAGGTGGCCAAGATGCAGACCCGTCGGCTCCTGCTGCGTGGCCTGGAGCAGACCCCCGCCTCGAGCGTGGGGGACCTGGAGAGCTCCGTCACCGGCTCCATGATCAACGGCTGGGGCTCGGCCTCCGAGGAGGACAACGTCTCCAGCGGGCGTTCCAGCGTCAGCTCCTCGGATGGCTCCTTCTTCACCGACGCCGACTTTGCCCAGGCGGTGGCCGCGGCCGCGGAGTACGCAGGCCTCAAGGTGGCGCGACGGCAGGTGCAGGACGCTGGTGAGTGGCCCCTGTGTGGCCGGGGTGAGCGGTTCCCTCCTAGGCCCGGTGTCCCATGAGGGGTGGAGAAGGCCCCGTGTGGCCAGAGCAGGCATTTCTCTCCTAGGCCTGGCGTCCCGCAAGGGGGGTTGAAAGCCACATGTGATCAGGGTGGGCGGTTCCCACCTCGGCCTAGCATCCTGCCTGGGGTGCAGCTGCTTTACAACTCATTAGAAGTAATCAACCAATTAGAATATTAATTCAATGGTGAATATACAAAGATGTGCATATGTTTCCAAGCATAGATGTTTTGTACTTAAGCTCCTTTAATCTTGTAATGGGGCGAGCACGTTAATCCAAGGTTGGTATAGTATTTTTCTGCTTTCTCTCTTTGCTTGTCTTTTTTTTAATTGGCTGCCCAAGGAAACCAAGGTCTAAAATTCAGCTTCGTTGGGTTATCCCTTTTTCTTGATGAGACTTTTAGAATCTCCCAAGGTTTATTTACTAAATCTTATGTAACGTGATAGGAAGCTACCCAGAGGTGCTCATGGCTAGGATAGTCACAGCGAATATATAAATACATACACATACAAATTGACACCATTTGTGCTGTACGTGTAGCCAGTTAAGTTTGTTTTTCTGTATGCTATAATAGTTTAATGCAGAAAGTCACCAAAATCAGATTCACTGTGATAGAGCTCTTCCCCTAGGTAGAAATTCCCAAGGAGAAACACGTATCCACATGGGATCCACATGGGACCTGAAAATGGCGGTTTCTCCTCAACCCCATTCCTATCGAATCAGAATATCAAGTTACTGAGATGATATAGAGATGTGTGTGATGTGCACGCATTTCAGCATACATGCTCCATACATAAACAGTTTGAACATTTGGGAGAGCAAGTTCATCCAAATACTTAATGTATTATTTTTCTGTTTTCCCTTTATAATGCCAGTGGCCTGACTTTAATTGCCAAATATCCATCCTTAAGTCTTAACGTGTTTTTATGTATCGCTTCCTCTTCCCAACCCTGGGAAATAACTCAAAATTTTAAGCATATATTTCTCATGTAATTTTATTTTCATAGAATGAAAATATATATATACACATTTATTTACCTTGTGTGTGTGTAAGAAAATACAAATAAAATAAAATAAAATAAAGTGGTCAACAAGAAAAAGATGCATTTCAGAGAAAGAAAAGATCATCACGGCAAATGAGTAATGGATATTTTTGTTTATTTTTCCTCATTTAATAACTGTCATATTGCTGACTTTCCATGTTCTTTTCAGGTATTTATTGTCCACTTTTTTTTTATCAATATAGAATATATTCAGAGAAAATTTAAAACATGTTCTAAAGTCGACTCTGTACATTTTTTGTCAAGGATCTGTGGCAGGAAAAAAATGTCTCATATCTCTCAACTCCTGTTTGTAGAATGTGTATCTATTCTAGCCAGGCCTGTATTTTATGAAATCCAACCACGTATTCCTTTTTTTCCCCTTAGCTGCTGAGCGTCATAACTAAGTACAGAAACCTAATTATCTTCCTTAGCAAATAACATCTAACCTTACATATAGCTTTTGTTTCTCCTTATTTTCTAATCTGTAAAACCAATAAGTGAAACTAAACGTCTCAAACCGCTGCTTTCCGATTGCATCACGGGTGCATTTCAGTCCATCACATCGATGAAAGGTAGAAATGACATTGACATGCACCTGTGGTGACCCCAGGCCTCAGGGTCTGTGAGCCTGGCTGGCCCTGCACGGTAGGTGAAGAACGGGTTCTGTCTCGACCCCGGTTCCCTGGCCATGGCCATGATCTGTGAATTGTAGGCATCTCCATCATAGCCAGCATGTTCTCGTGTCGTACTCGAGGGCACTCTGGGCGTCGCCGGGCTCAGGATTGCAGTGACCTGTGCCCGGCCAGCCTCCGCCTGTGGCAACATTCTTCCCGTGAGGGGCAGCGTTGCCATGGGACTAGAAGTTGCAGAGTCAGTGACCCACTTGCCTGGCCTCCCACGTGGCTGCATTAGTGCCAGCCACCTCATCTGCTCCCCTCGGCTGTTTTACATGCATGGACTTCACTGCACGTGGCTTCTCCTGTTTGTAGTCAAAAGCCACACTGCCTAGGTCTGAAGTGCCCTGTGGTACGATAGAAAGTTCCTGATTTCTGACGGGTTCCTGGAAACCACAGCAGTGAAAGTCAGCCGCAAGGGCAGTCGCTCTCGGTGCCCTTGTGATGGATGGTGCCGTGCCTGTGGTAATATGGCCTCTGTGTGAGGCAGCCAGACTTGAGACCTGAGGCTTGCCGGGTCTGATTAGGAGTTCAGTTCCCACTGGTGCGTCAGACTCCTGGCCCTCCAAAACATCTAGCGCTCCTGGCTTCAAAACCAGAAATCTTGGCAGGATCCCCCTACGTGCCCAGAGCCAGCCAATGCCTTGAGGTAGAAAAGAGGGGCAAGCAGTTTCCAGCCGGCCTAAGTATGTGAGCCAGATCCAGTTCAGAGCACCGAAGGGAAAATGCCTGTGAATGCAGCGGACATCGGGGGTCTGCCTTCAAAGCAGTCCCTAGACAGGCCCTCACAGAGGGATGGGGTTGGCCTGGCTCACCCGTGAACACGAATGTCTCGAGGACTCTGGCCCTTCCTCTCGAGAAAGCAACAGACGTTGGGTATGTGATGCAAAAAGGTAATTCCTGTTTCTTTTCAAGGATAACATATCCGTGAGGCTCTGTGGCAAAAATAATTGGGATGTTTCTCCTTAATAAATAGGTATCTTTCATAAAAATAAAAGCAGTGTGGTTTAAAAAAACGAAAAGAAAAGTGGAAATGCTGTGAGTGCTTTTTCCAGCGGGTAGCCCAAGCGAGTGACAACGCCGGAGACTTGCTGAAGAGTCTGTTCCGGCTTTCTGGTTTGTCTGTGCTGTCGCTGCGGTGACGGAGGTTCACTGGTCAGCGGCTCTGTCTCCCCAGGCCGCCGACATTTCCACGCGTCGCCGTGTCCCAGGCCCACCAGCCCTGTGTCCACAGACAGCAACATGAGTGCCGCCATCGTGCAGAAAGCCCGGCCAGCCAAGAAACCAAAGCACCAGCCGGGACACCTGCGCAGAGAGGCCTACGTGGACGGTGAGTCCATCGATGGGGCGGGCGGTGCCATGCCTCCCTCTCGTCTGCCTCTCCACCCCAGCAACGCCACCCTGGAGCTCAGGCCTCCCTAGACCTTCACCACCGTCAACTCCACGTGACTTACAGGAGGGGAGGGACCAGCTTCCGGGTCGGGCCGAGTGTCACTGGGCCTAGCCACTTTCTGATGAGTGGGTTATTTAAACAGCGAAAACAGCGCAGCCCTTGAATGTTCTTGAGAGGTTACTTTATAGGTTCACGCCAATGGACATCACTCTAGTTGACATAAGGATGTGAGGTTAACCTGAGGCAGGTTTGCTGATAAATCCCCAGTGTCCTTCTTATGTTTTTCCTGTTTTTGTTTTACCATTTTGCATTCAGATAGGAAACAGTCAACATGTTTGAATATGAATTCTAACCACAGTGGCATGACGGATGGTTACTGTGGACACCAGCAGGCAAATCAGGCCATCGAGCTGTCTTCCCCTGTGCCTTCATGGGCAGCCTGAAGTCTTGTGACCAGGCGGCACTGGCATTTGAGGACAGTGAGATGCCCTGATGGCGTCTGCAGCGAGCCTCCTCAAGGTGCTCTAGGTGGCCCAGCATGGCCTAGGCTACCACCTCCTCATTTCGTTGGCCATTCTCATGAGATAAACTCTCTTGGACTCACCCTCTGTTGAGTGTGCAAGATCCACGCCGGGGTGGGGGAAGAAGAGGGTGTCGTGTCACAGGTAGGGCACCACCGCGGTCCTCATGGCCGCTGTCTGATGAGGACTGTCATTACTAGGCAGCCGTGTTCCAGGAAGGGCATCATTTGCCTGTATCACATGAAAGCCTCATGCCACAGGTCCTATCCGAGACGAGGTGGGTTTCTGGGCACTTCCCCTGTGTTTCCTGCCACCAGACAGAAGAGTTTACAGCTCGCAGTGTGCCTTGCGTGAGTCATTTTGACGTGAGTGGCTGGCCATGCTGTCACCGGCCCTCTTCCTGACATTGTCTCTCGCCAGCCTCTGTGTGATATCAGCACCGACGTGGCCTGTGTACCTGGCCTCTGCTGCCAGGCCACTTTTGTTGGTAGGCTGAGCTGTCAAGACTGTGTCTCATTTGGAAGGGTGTGAGGGTGGCTTTGAGCTCTGTGCCACGTAAAGGAACAAACACCAGGTTTTAAATACCTCAGCCCAACTGGTAATTTTACATTGACAGGACCCTGATGCTGGCACCCTTCAGGCTTCATAGCTGTTTTATGAGTGTTCATCGTCTCACAGCGTGCTCCTAACTGGAGAACTGCCGGGTGTCAAGCTGGATGTCCGCACGTCTGAGTGGCATACATCAGCCAGGAAAGCCCGCGAGATCTCGCCTCCTCTCGTTTATACTTGTCGGAGGGGACGTGGGTCTTGAGTGGTGCTTTTAAAAATCTTTTAAATCCTGTCCACTTGCCAAGGTAAAGAATATTGCATCCCAGTCCTAAAGTATACCATGCTTGGAAACTGTTATCTGTGCATATTGTCCCTGCCTTCTGCAGCACTTATTTCAGTGTTTAATAATCAAATGTAAATTCCCACGAATCCCTGATAATAACTGTTACACTGAATGATGAAGCGCCCAAATTATTTTTTAAGTTAATTTCAGAAACACTAAAGAATACACTGGGATATTTGTAAAGCCAAAAGTTAATCTCAAATGTTATTTGGATTTCTAATTGCTCATTTCACAAAAGTGATTATGCAAAGTTCTCATAGCACACACTGAATATAAAAGCCAATAATTATTTTCTGTAAGTCACAAACAGAGGATGAAGAGATGACTAAAGCCGTTTTTAGATTATAGCATTCATTTCCTTTCAACATTTTGATAGCCATATTTTAGTTATGTTTATTATATTAACCAGTCCTGAATTTTGTTGTAGAGGCTTGCTATTTGATTTTTAAAAATCGACAAAACCATGTGTTATTTCATACATATTCCATACTGCGTACTGATTAATTAAAATCATATAAAGGCAGATACTTCTTCCTGCACCAAGTAAAGGAACATACATACTCTTGAGAGCGGTGCTTATGACATGGAGACAAAAGTCATTTCTCAGGAATTATTTACCCAGATTCCTACTCTGCTGCAGTTTTGGGGGGAAAATAATTCACAGAATAAATTGCTCACAGCCCAATTCATGAAGAAGCTTCACGGAGATGCCATCTGTACAACTTATTAGAAACGGGAAGAGAGGAGGAGAAAGAATTTGAAGAACTGCCAGTTGTTTTCTATCTTAATAGCTTTGGGAATGCAGGTGTCTTCTGGTTACGCGGGTGAATCACACCGCGGTGCAGTCTGGGTTTCCAGTGCGCCCACCACCCGCATGGTGCCCGGTGTACCCGAGGGGGGATTTTATCCCTCCCCCACCCGCCCTCAGAGTCTGCAGCGTCCCTCCTGCCGCTCTCCGTGCCTCTGTGGACCCAGAGCTTAGTTCCCGCTTGTGAGGACACTTGGTGTTTGATTTGAGTTCCTGAGTTGCTTCACGTTGGATGGTGGCCTCCAGTTCCATCCACGCTGCTGCAAAAGACAGGAGTTCGTTCTGTTTTTTAATGGCTGAGTGGTGTTCCGTGGAGTGGGTGTGTGTGTGTGTGCGTGTGTGTGTGTGCGCACAGGCCGCATTTTCTTTATCCAGTCGTGGTTGATTGGCACTTAGACTGAACCCATGTTTCTGCTCTTGTGAGTGGTGCTTCGACAGACGTGCGTGCGTCAGTATCTCCTCGGCTTACCGAGTTGTGTGCTTTGGACGGCCGTCCCGAGGTGGGGTTGCGGGACTGATGGCAGACCTGCCTCGGGTCCCTTGAGGGGCCTTCACCCTGCCTTCCCCAGAGGCCGGCCTCGCTTGCACTCCTGCCTCAGTGTGTGTGGGTGTCCCCTTCTCTCTGTGTCTGGCCGGCTGTTCTTGTTTTTTGACGTTTTACTTAGGAGCGTTCGGACTGGCGTGAGATCAGATATCATTGCGGTTTTAATTCACATTTCCCTGATGACTTGTGATGTTGGACTGCCAGTTCCCAAAGTGTGAGTTAAACACAATCGGAAGACACGTAGGGTTTGGGGTTTTGCTTTGTTTTGTTTTTCTTTCTGACGAGCAGAATGTCCTGACTGTGCTGAGGAGCGTAAGGACTGCCAGTAGCGTGCACGGATGATGACGGGGTGTGGTGTGTCCGTGTTGGGCTGGTAGCATGTTCCCCGTTGGAGACCGTGTGTGAAACCTGTGAAGAAGGAGAAAGAGGGCTGTGCCTGAGCTCGCCAAGAGTGGTGGCGATGAGCCTCGGCAGTCAGCCCCCGGGTGGGTCTAGGGCTGCCATGACGGCACCACAGACCGGGTGGCTGAAGCCGCAGTAGGAGCCGGGCTCGGCGGCTCAGCCTGGAATCCCGCGCCTTGGGAGGCCGGGGTGAGCAGATGGCCTGAGTCCGCAGGTTCGGG